AAACTTCTTTTCATGAAGATACTGTAAAAAATGCAAACATGAAGCACAAACTTGCATGAGGGCAGGTGAATAGTTCAATATTCTCAGAGGTTAATTTTTTTCCAAATCTAGATAATAGACAATAGGTACTATAGGTAGTAGGTAGTTGAGAAAGTAGGTAGTTGAATATTATTCTATTGTATTCTTGTACTAAGTAGGTAGTTGAATATTATTCTACTCTATTCTTGTACTAAGCATATATCCCAAGATCCTAGCATTATGAAGGATGATAAACTCCAACTCCCTAACATTCATGGGACCATGTCTGCTCTCTTATTTCTGGTTGATCATTAAAACTGAAGCTTCTTAATTTCTGAGTTTTAGAAACCTTTATGTATATGAAACCTTCTAAAACGTAAGCTCTTATCTTGGTGGGAAACAAACTAACCTCTTTTGCATAATGGAAAAACAAAGAGAAAGAATGTTTTTGAAGATAATTTAGGCTTTCTGCTGAACAATGTATAAGCATTATCTCATTTAATTCCCAGAGCAATCTACAGACAAGTATTATCCTCATTTTTACATATAAGAAAACAAAGGCTCAGAGAAGTAATTTTCTCAAAGTCACATAGATAGTAAGTTTCATAGGCCATAATTCTAAGTTTAATAGATGCCACGGCCCAGGCTTTCTCTCATTATATATATAAAATGTATTATTATATTAATATATCTGTATTAATATAATATTAATATTATGATAAAATTAAAATCTTATTGTATTATTTAGTATATGTTAAAATGCTACCTCCTTCCATCTTTAAAAAAATGCCTTCTGTTATCTCTGCTTCCTTTCAGTTAATGCCCTAATTCTCAATCACAAAACAGAGGTTTTTGGAAGATTGGTGGATCATGAATCCTATTCAGGAGTCTTTACCATCAGACTTGTACCCCACGAACACTTCTGCTTTTGTCTCTAATGCTGTATCCATAGTCCTTGTCCACCATGTCCTTGGCAGAATATTTTACTGTTCCTCAACTCCTTGTTAAAGCACTTCCTCCTTAAGCTTTTAGAGTTCTGCTGATTCTTTGTTTCTCTGCTTTACATCTTTTCCTTTTTTCCATTTCCAAAGTGTATGTATTTTCCCACTTTTTCTCATATTTTCCTTGACCTTTCTTTTGGTCCCTTTTTTTCTGGTGGTCTCACCAGAAAAGTCACCAGGCTTTGACTTCCACCTATAAGGAGGTGACCCTTGAGTTTCCATCTCCAGCTCAGGCTTCTTACCCCAGCTCAGACCCATATGTGCAACTACCAACCAGACATCCTCACCTGGAGGACTCATGGAGAACACAAATTCAATGTACCCAGACCTCTACTCATCATCTTTCTCCTAAAACCTTCCTTGGTCTTATCACAGACAACACCACATTAGTTTGCATTCATGCATAGATCACTGGTCTTCCCATAACTTCCATGGGTTGTACATCACCTAATAAATTTTCTCAATCCATGAGTCTTCTAAGATTCTACTGTTCCTGTGGCTACACTTCTACAACCTTACTCTTGCTTTTCCCCTATCTTTGAATGCCTCTCTTTGTTTTTGGATTTCAAGCCCTACCCAGTCTTCAAAATCTACATAAATTTAACTCATATAGTAGTCATTCCTGATCTCTACCTCCTTTAAACAAACTCCATAGTACATTGTAACAGATGCTGTTGGTGCCTATACCTTCTTGCCAATTCCATTTTAGTGCATTCTAGTTCAACTGCCAAGCAGCAGCATTCACACTTACTTTCCTGCAGGGTTTATCTGGTTACCAGTAGCTTTGTTCTCTGTGTAGCAGGTTAGAAGTACAGGAGTATTAATGCTCCCTGAAAACAGTTCTCAACCAATAAATACCTAGCTCCCTCACTCTTGGGTAAAATAACTGAGTGGGTGTCTTATGCTGGTCCCCAGAGAATCCCTAGTAGAATTAAATTCTAGTTGCCTAGGAGAATCAGACTCTAGTTCCTGTCTTATTAGGGCACCCATTGACCACCCTCTTATTCCCTGTCCCCTGTTTCTGCTCTGGTACTGATGTTTCCTGGAAACCTCTTTTAAATAAATGACTCAGCTCAAATCCTTATTTCAGGGTCTGCTTCTGGGAGACTCTAATTAGGAAGCATGTAATCTGTGTCTCTCCTATCATACTTAGCTCCTGGAGGGCCAGGCTGGGCTTTATCTCTGTCCACACTCTGGTTGAGCCTCTGCCCATTAAGAATGAGGAAATGGTCATTTAATGAAGAGGCTTTGAAGACTAGGGAGAAGTAAGCTCTGGCCAGATCACGGTATGTCCTGTCAGAAGGTTGCTGGGCTCTCTTCACAGGGTGAGGGGAAGAGAGGTTACTACTGAAGCCATATGAAGAGGAGAACACCTAGAAGGGTGGCAGGGGAAAGTAGAGTCCTTAGTGGTATGGAGGCCAGCCTGGGAAAATACTGATGGATGTCAGTGATGAAAAAATGTTCCAAAGAGTCGAACTGAGACAGGTGAAGCTGAGGGCCGTGGGTGGAGAAAAAGGGGAAAATTTACTCAAGAAAAAAAAAAAAAGTAAACAATGAACCTTGAAGGATACTGCCACCACGTGGGCATGACAAATCCACCTCTGTCCCAGGTAGGTCCCACTTGACTACAGCAGCCTCACAGGTTTTCTCCAGGTCAGTAGTACCCAGAGCCCCATGCCCTAGACACCTGCCTGTCCATCGACACCCATTCTTCTTCTTCTTCTTCTTTTTTTAAAGATCCTATTTATTTATTCATGAGACACAGAGAGAGAGGCAGAGACACAGGCAGAGAGAGAAGCAGGCTCCATGCAGGGAGCCTGACATGGGACTTGATCCTGGGACTCCAGGATCATGCCCTGGGCCGAAAGCAGGCGCCAAACCGCTGAGCCACCCAGGGATCCCCCATCGACACCCATTCTTAGTGAACCAGTTCCTCTCCTGGGGGCCTAGGGCTCCTCCAGGGCTTAGAGAGCAGAACCCAGTCTCCTGAGGGCCCTGACTGTTATGTCAGGCACTTCACATCTATCTGCTCCGCTATTATCCCAGGCTTTACCTCTGAGCTGTCCCTCACTCACTCTGGTCCTTTCTTCCTTGTCCCTCCAGGACAGGCCTGGGAGCTCAGTGAGCCTGGGAACTGTTCTGAGTAGAGAGTGTTTCAAGCCTTCATTCTTGTCTTCTCCCTTCCACAGGCTGGGATTGTACAAGCAACACACTTCTTCCAATAAGTGCCCCAAACTCATCTGCATGCAGCTCAGCTAGAACCACAGAGGCTGTGGCCCTAGAGTAGGTTTGGGATGTGTCAGAATTCATCAAGGGAATGGGAGCAAGACCAGAAGGCCCCAAAAGGTCAGGTCTTGAGGCCAGCATTTGGCTGGGGTGCCTTCCTATCTGCCCCAGAGACAAATACCTCACCCAGACTGCCCAGGGAAACACATGGAAATTCTGCAGAAATGTTCAAAGTCTGTAATGATAGGCACTGTCAGAGGGAAACAGACAGGGAGCAGTGTGGAATAAAAGAGAGTTGTTGGGCTTTTAAAGAATTGGCTCTGGCGACTCTGTCCCCTAAACCCAGAGATTTTTTTTTTTAAATTTTTATTTACTTAGGATAGTCACAGAGAGAGAGAGAGAGGCAGAGACACAGGCAGAGGGAGAAGCAGGCTCCATGCACCGGGAGCCCGATGTGGGATTCGATCCCGGGTCTCCAGGATCGCGCCCTGGGCCAAAGGCAGGCGCCAAACCGCTGCGCCACCCAGGGATCCCTAAACCCAGAGATTTAAACTAGGTAGGAGCTGCATGGATTCAGGCTACACACCAAGAAAGGACACTATTGAAACTCAATTTAATAAGGCAGTGTTGGCCACTCAACCCTCACATTCCTGGGGTCAGAGGCATAGAAGACCCTTCTGGTAAAGGCTGGTCTTTCCTTCCATGTTTGGAACTCAGGTAACTCTGATTCCCTACCATCCTGTAGGTCTCTGCTCTGATTCCATCTCTTCATAGCAGCCATGAATCATGTCCTCCCACACCATGTCCCCATATGACCCCCCAAAATGATATTACTTATTTATTTGTGCACTCCAGCCTCCTCCTTATTTTTTTAAAAATATTTTATTCATGAGAGACACAGGGAGAGAGGCAGAGGCATAGGCAGAGGGAGAAGCAGGCTCACTGTAGGGACCTGAGCTGAAGGCAGATGCTCAACCACAGAGCCACCCAGTGTCCCTATTCTTTCTTATTTTTTTTTTAAAGAAAGGTTTTTTTTTTTATTTATTTATTTATGATAGTCACAGAGAGAGAGAGAGGCAGAGACACAGGCAGAGGGAGAAGCAGGCTCCATGCACCGGGAGCCCGATGTGGGATTCGATCCCGGGTCTCCAGGATCGCGCCCTGGGCCAAAGGCAGGCGCCAAAACGCTGCGCCACCCAGGGATCCCTTCTTTCTTATTTTTAAACCAGAGATCAAGCCTGGTCTCTCTGGCTCTGCCATTGGACTGCATCTCAGGAACTTGGGCCATAGGGGCCAGCCAAAAGAGCCAGAGGGGAAGAGGCCCCCTAGATAAAGGGATAGTAAGCATGGGGATGAAGGGAAGGGAGCAGACTTTGGAAAGGGCCGCAGCAGGGGAAGATCCGGGTAGGTGCCCCAGCCAGGCTGTCTCCTTCCAGTCAGTCTTCCTGGTGTGCCCCATCAGCAGGGGGAAGGTTTGGAGGAGAGGCTGCAGGGCAAGGAGCTCAGGCCTTGGGTCCCAGGCCCCAGTCTCACAGACCTGAATTGAAAACCACTGTCCTGAGAGAAGTTTGGCAGTTTCCTCCAGTGCTGACTGTGAGGCTGTGGTTACTCAGGGCTCCTGGTGAACCCTGGCAGACATCACGGGAAGTGACTGGTATGGTAATTAGAGTGACCGAGTTCAGAGCTAGAGTGGGGTGATTGTCATTGTTCTGTTTCTCATCTATCCTCAGCCACAGATGGAACCTCTCACAGGCCCAGCAGGCAGGAGCTGGACCCCAACTCTGCTGTGGGCAGGATCACCGCCGTTTTCCAATATCTGGTCTCCTGCTGTCTAGGTACATGGGGGGTTGTACTTCCCCATTCCTGAGACATTGAGTGGTCATGTGACTTGCTTTGGTGAATCCAATGTGATTGGGGTTTGGGGTGTGCACTCTTTTCCAGTGGAAAGATTAAACTGGCTGTGCTCACTTGGGCACTTCTCTCTCTTCCAGCATGGTGGCTGCGGCAGCACCTATTGATGTGGAGGTGTGACATTAAGACATTATGTGGAAGAAAAGTCCTGCCCTGGAGAGTCACCCAGACTCAAATCACTGCTATTTGAGGGCTATTTGTCACTGTATCATGACCTGTACTGTCCTGACTGATACCAAGGTAAGCCAATGTGCCTCTGTGTGGGGAATGGGAAGAGAAGAGAGGACACAAGAGTGGTCTTCCAGGAAGTTGATGAAGCAGATGGGCCAGTGGGGGAGAGGGATGGAATACTCTTTTGGATTTAATTCTGATCAGCAAGAAGAAATTAGAAAAGTAAAAGGGAGAGGAACCCTAATGAATGAGGATCATTATATAAAAGCTCTGAGAAAAATATTTGTTCGGTCAGCCCCTCTCCATCTCTTGGCTTACCAGTTAGTTACAGAGCACCAGGCCTGATGCTGTGATAGAGAAGCCAAGATAAAAATGAAAGGCCACTGCCCTTGAGAAGCTTATAGAGAGCAGAGGCCTTGATGGCTTACACTCCTCCCAGCTATGCTGCCTGCTGGGAGAATCTTGAATGAGCCCAATGACGAAAGGGAAGAGAAGGAGCTCAAGCTTAGACGTGAGGGGCATGGTGGACACAGAAGATGGAAAAAAGATCACAGCTAAGGTTGAGAAAACCCAGTGACATCACAACTTCCACTGACAGTTGGACATCTATCTACATGAGCCAGACACTGTCCCCAGAGTTAGGGGGGATACAGCCACAAGCAAGGCCTGGAGAGAATCAACGTGCAACAACAGTGTATTGACTGGGGATGTGACAAGAGTTAGAAAGAAGGGGTAAATCTGGAGTGAGGGCATCTGCCTAGGCATTTGGGGACTTGGTATGTGAAGACAGAATAGGAGTTTAGCATTCATTTATTTAATAGTTTTTAATGATTTAATCATATTTAATCATTCATTCAGTCTCCCTTTTAGGCACCCATCAACATGGAAAGGGGCTGTCTGGAAGAAGCTGTGCCCGTAAGCAAGAATATGGGGGCAGGTGTCTCCCCAGGGCAGGGGCACCCTGGTTCCAGGAAGGAGCCACCAGCTTGAGCCAACAAAATGTTCTGGGGGGGAGGTAAGAGCTTTGGACAGAGACAAACCACCGTGCCCAAATCTGAAGACTGGGGTTGGATCAGAAAGGGAGTAAAGCTGGCTTGTGGGGGGTTTTGGGGGAGAAGCTTAAACTATGTCCAAAGCCTTGACATTCTGGTGGCATACAAGGGGTAGGGGGAATTTCCAACCACAACATGCTGGATTGATTTGGACAAAGAAAATTTTGCCAAATTTAAAAATCACAAAAAAGCCCTGCTTTTCTTAATTTTTAAAGATTTTATTCATTCACTCATGAGAGACACACAGAGAGAGGCAGAGACACAGGCAGAGGGAGAAGCAGGCTCCTTCCGAGGAGCGCGATGTGGGACTAGATCCCAGGACCCCAGGATCACGACCTGAGCCAAAGGTAGATGCTCAACCACTGAGCCATCCAGGTGCCCCAAAACAGGGTTGCTTTTGCTAAAAAAAATGAAAGATACACCTGAGAGGAAGGTCAGCTGCTTCACCAGGATGGGCTTTGTTCAGTACCAGGGAGCATTGACTCTCACTGCCATGAAATGGGCAGTGAGTGGTTGCATCCCAGGGTGTGAACTCTGGGTTCTGACCGCTGGCTCTGGCTGATTTGGGGGCAGCTGCCAAGATGTAAGCTTCTCAGCCTGGGGCCACCAGACTGCCTGGCTCACACCCTCGGAAGGGCCGGGTGCCCCTGGGACCGTCTGAACCTGCTGCAGACAAGGTTGGCTCCCACAGGTTCAGCTTCTGTGGGCTCCAGAACCCTGTGCCCAGATTTCCCACCTATTAGGCCAGGACTCCAGGGCTGTCATGGTACTTTTCACATGTGTGTGTGATTTTTTTGGTTTATGTTGGTCTCTTTCTGTCTTTAATTAAATTTCTTTTGGAAAACATCCATCTCCACAGAACCAAGGGATTAAAAAGTTTTCAGTTTTGTTTTTGATGTTTGTTTTCCCCCCATCTGTGCCATGCCTTGGGCCCTTAGTGACTGATTTTCACGTTGGGGACAGCAGGTACCTGATTGGGGGAAGGAGTGTTCAGTGAGGTGACAATATGAGGCCAGCCAGACAGTAAAGCCAAGGGAAATGTCTTCCTCTTAAGCTTACATATACCTACTCTTAAATGACCAACCTTGGGGAGTTTCTCAAAGGACTTGGGCCCCCAAAGCCCATGACTGTCAGCCTGACTACCCCCAGCCTGGCCTCCTTTCTCCTCCTGTGTGGCCGAGGCCCAGCCTGGACACTCCATCTTCAAAGGGAGAAGACAAAGCCTGCTTGTTGCTCTGTATTTGTCTTGGGAGCTCCTGCTCCTAGGAGAGCCTCCTGGCCTCCCAGGCCAGGAATAGCACCGAGTCTACATGGCCAGCCTGCCCTTCTGAGTTGCTTGTTTTTATTAAAATTCTTCTGCACGCGCAATCCCGGACGGTGTGTGGATCTTGGATGAGGTGGTATGGGGGACTCAGAGAAAGGAAGGCCTCAGGCTTCTTCGGGTTGGTGTTTATTTGGCCTGCCTTTTCAGAGTAGTAGAGAATGGCAGTCCATAAAAGTGACCCAAGATTGGTGCCTCAGAGGGTGGTGGGGTGTGACACAAAGTCCGTGGCAGGCCTCAGCCTGGCTCTGGGCTGCCAGCCCCCGACGATACAGGAAACACTCTGGAGAGCTGCGGAGGCAGAACAAGGACAGGGCCCCCAAACCGAGGGGCAAAGCTTACAAGAGCTGCTTCCTCCTGGTTTTTATTTGAAGGCTCCCGCAGGGTGACCCACAGGGAGACAGTCAGCTTGGCATCTGTCCCCTGGCCACTGGCAGCACTCTGGAGCAGGCAAGGGCTGCCTGCCATGGCAGCAATATACACCTGCTGGGGGCGGGGCTGGGCTCCTGGCTTCCAGCTTTGCTCAGGTGCGGCCTGGTGACATGTTCCTCAGCACTTCATGTGCCTCCACACCGGCCCAGGTACCCTTCAGCATTCCCCCATCTGGTCCTGGAGGCTAACAACAGCCCCGGACTCCAGAGTAAGACCTGCTCTGCCTGGTTGGCGTTGTGCACAGAAAGGATTCCCATCATTCTAGCCATTTACCTGGAGACTGAGTTCCTTCTTGCCCCACTGATCTCCACACTACTGGGCTTTGAAGCTAGTCATTCATTCTCCTGGCAGGCCCTCGGCGAGACAGGCAGGTGATGGCAGATGATGGCATAGGAGCTTCCAGCAAGAGTGTGCTTTCCAGTGTCATGCTTGGAAGCTAAGGCTTGTCCCAGCAGTCTGGGCTCTGAGCCCCTGCTGAGGTGACCACCCCACAAGACCTGTAGGGATGTGGTGGAGGGCGTAGGAGCAGGGGGAGCCATTTTCAAGAGTCAGGAAATTGCAAAAGTTCCAGCGTCTGCAGCCAAAGGCTCAGTGTGGAAAATTTCAGGCTCCAAGCAGGGTTCCAGAGGAGGGGGAAGGAGCCCTGGGGCCAGCATGCTTGTCCCAGACTTCTCAGACCTGAGCCCTCCCCTGACAGGCAGGACGGCTGGTCAGAAAGGCCAGAGAGGCCAGGGAGGCCAGGGAGGCAGACTCAAGTCCCTTCACTGCCAGGGAGGCAGACTCAAGCCCCTTCAGGGGCTTCACTGATCAGAGGGAGAAACTTACAAGGGGGACCTAGTCCCCGGAAGAGTGCTAGAGGAACAGCAGCCCCCAGGGCTCAGAGGGAAACTGAGGCATGGCAAGATGAAATTTGCTCTAGACAAGGCCAAAATTTCAGCATGGGGACGTCTACCCCACGTGAGGGGCCAGCAGCCTAGTAGGACATAGGGAGAGAGGTGCAATCCTAGGGGCAGGTTTGGAGTGCGAGTGATGGTCTGGGTTGGGAGTGTGTCCCCTGGATTCATTGTAGGGGCTTTCTCCAGGAAGACCTAAGGCTCATGGTAGCCAGGACAATGAGCGGCTAGGATGAAATGGGGTTGGGGTGCCCGGCATGGAGGCCAACGCCCGGGCAAGCTGCCCCTCAAGACTTCCTCCTGCCTGGCCAGGCCTCTGCTGCAGTGCCCCTGCAAGGGCCCCTGCTCTGCTCAGCAGTGGAGCTCCAAGTGGCAGGGCTCCCACATGTCATCGGGAATCACCGGGGCCCCACAAGCGCCCCGCTGACCCCGCATCCGGGCCAGGACCATTTGACTGGGCCTGGAGGGAGCCGCAGGCCACCACCAGCATCTCTGCTGCTTGCTCGGGCCTCAGGGCTCCTGGAGCAGGGCCGAGAACGTGCATCCCGCCGGCTTGCGGCTGGGGATTTCACTTGGAGCCGCTACATTTGGAACCCATTATTTAATCATTAATTTCCTCCTCTCGTCGACCCCTTCCACCCCGCCTCAGCTCTGCGCCCCCCGCCCCAGATTAGATCTCCACGTGGTGCTTTGCAGTGATCCTTGACAGGGCTTCTGTGCTGGGGATGGGGAGGCGGGGAGGGAAGCAAAGAGGCGGCTGCGGCTACTCCAGGCTGCTTGGCCGTAGGATTGAGAGAGGAGATGGGGCAGCCCGGGGCCTGGATCTGCAATAGTGGAGGGTGCAAAGTGTCTAGACCCTGACCCAGGAACCCAGGTACAAGCTGTGCCTCCCTGGAGGGCATCAGAGCAGGGGGACCTTCTCAGAGGCTGGCTGGGGCTTGCTGAGCCAACCCAGCTCTGGTGCCTCTGGAGTCCAGGGGCTCCGAAAGCCCCTCTAAGCCTCTATGGAAGGATGAGACATAGCTCCCTGCCCCCTTCTCTCCTGGGAGAGGAGACATATGGGAGAAGTGAGACCACACTCCGTAAGCTGAGTCTGTGGAAGGATCAATCTCCAGCCCTGGCCCCAGGCCCAGCCAGGTAACAGGCATGTCCGCCTTCCCTGGGGAGCTCCCCGAATATGAAGAATAGACTCACTGAGAGGGACTAGACCTCAGCCCCACCTACCGAGCACCGGCCCAGTTCCAGGGGAGGCCAGTGAGCTGGGGGCCTCTGTGGGGCTTTGTGGGACGTAAGGCAGGTGAAGCCAAGAGGACACATCCTTTCTCCACTCTCCCCACATGGCTTTCATCACATGCTCCCAGATCTGAGGGATGGTCGTGACCTGAGCAAGTCCTTCCCGGGGGGGGGGGGGGGGAGGCAGGGGGGGCAGCCCTGAGGACACTGTACACCTGGGGGAAGGTGGGAGGTACTGCCATCAGGGAAAGAGGGAAGGGGCAAGTGTTTAGAGTGCCTGCCACAGACTTGGCTGGTGGGCTAGGCTCTTCACTGCATCGTCATTGTCACGAACAGCAGCAGCACGGCTAACACATCGTGCTTTTCTGTGCAAACAATGGTAGCTCAATGCAATCTTCCCAGCAGACCTAAGACAGAGGCTCTGCTGTGATGCTTACCTTGAAGATGAGGATAGAGGCTCAGAGATACAAAGGAACTTACTTAAGTGAGAAGAGGCAAGACCACGTCTGAAGTCCACACACTTTCCCAGAGCTGGAGGGCTTCTAGCCATGGCCTCATGGTTGCTGGGCTTGGGTCTGAGCACAGCCCACTTCTACCTTCCATTGCCCCCTCCCCCCACCCTGGAGGAAGCTGGCTGGCCCAGGGATGCACTGGCTCATCTCAGCAGGAGATGGGGGAAAGGATGGGGAGCTCCTCTTTCTCACAGCCCCCCCCCCACAGCAAAACGCCCTCCCTCATACCACTATTCTGAAACATCTACTTTCTTCTGAGGTCCAGCTCAGTGCTAAGCCTGCCCTGATAGTCCCATCTCTTCTCCAAAGTCTTAATAACCCTTAAAGTCTGAGACCCATCCCTTGCCTTGTGCAGTTCTCCAGAAGTTCCTCTGTGAGTGAAAATTTCCCCTCCTGACCTGGAAGCCCTTAAAGACAGAAAAAGCATCAGCCTCCTGCTGAGTATCAGTGGATCCTGCGGCAGGGGTGAGGACCAGCAGCTGGGACCCTCAGGCTCTAGCTGTGTGCCCCACTGCCTTACCACTGCCCCTCCCTGAAAAAGGTATGAAAAGGGGTGGCAAGCTAGGGGGCAGGCATGCTCCCCTTTCTCCTTTAGTTCACACACTCACTAACCATACTAGCTGCTGGCTGCTGGCTGAGCCTCATTGTTTTGTTTTGCTTATTTGTCTTTGGTTGTTGTTTTTTATTTTGTTTTGTTTTTGTTCCTAGCCTCTGAACCTTTTTACTGTGCTTGGAGGAACCCCTAACTGAACAAATCCCAGAGAAGGCAGTTCCCATCTCTTAATATAGATATGGAGATCTTTCTATGCAGCTGTACATGGGCATCTGACCCAGCCTGGGCCAGTTGCAGACATCTCACCTAGACTTTAAACCCAGGACAGGGAAGGATTATTCTGGTGGTGGCTGTGGCAACAACAGGGAAGCAGGTGTTAGGACCCCATGCTTTGGAGTGTGCTCTGGCTTTTCAGCATTCCCTGGGTCCACATGTCTTCTGAAACTCTCTTTTCATCCCCTGGGTAATTTTGGGAAATATGAATAGCTTTCTCTGCTTAAACCAGCCAGACTAAGTTTCTGTCTCTTACAACCAACAATCTGGATTCTCAGAGCCTTTCTTTGCTGCCCTTACACCCATAACTTGGAGTCTACTTGCTCTGCCATCAGATATGCTGTGACAAGACACCAAGTTACATTCTGGTCAGTGCTGGTTTCCCAAGTCAAATGCCTGTTCTTTCTCAGAAGACTCTAGGAAAAAAGTAAAGACACATGATGTAATGGGTGAAAATAGGCTTTGGCACAGCCAGAACCAGGGTTGAGATCCTGCCCTTCCCTTTCACAAGTGATAGATTACTTAAGCGCTTTGAGCAATAGGTTTTGTAAATGTGCAAAATAAATTTAATAAGACCTGTTCCATATCAGTTGTTGCAGAAATGAAATTAGAAGATTAATGAACACAAAGCACCATGGTGCCCAACACAAAAAAGGCATCCAACATTTATTTGTTTAGCAAGTATTTTCTCATTATTGGCTCCTATTCTTCACTCTTTTTTGTGCTCTTTGCCATGTGAATTTGTGGTTCCTCCCGTCAGAGGTAGAGTATAC